GCCACTTTCTCATTACTTTCATATATTTTTTTAGTAAGTATCCAAAACATACAAGTTTCATTATATAATTTTTCAAGGGATCTTATATGTGTTTTCGCTCTAGTATGCTTTTCATACAAGTTTAATACAAGACAGATACAAACTTTATAAGATTTATATATATCTTTTCCATATGGTAGTTGAGGAAATTTGGCTCATTCTGCAATGTTTTTTCAGCTTATTGAGGTTTGAGGTACTTTGTTTGTGCACAGCTCTCTTAAGGTCCTGCCACAGCATTTCTATCAGTACGAGGTCTGGACTTTCACTGAGTCATTGCAACGCCTTCATTCTTTTCCCTTTTGCCTTTTGTTTTGTAGATTTGCTGCTGTGCTTGGGATCTATTTCCTGTTACATGACCCAATTTCAGACTTCACCTGTCAGGCACATGGCCTCATATTTGAGTCTAGATGACTTGGTATACAAATATCTGACTGCGAGGTGCCCAGGTCCCAAATCATCACACCTCCACCACTGTGCTTGACTATTGTTTGTGCTAATATGCTGTGTGTGGTTTTCACCTAACAAGACATTTAATCTTATCTGTCCAGCAGACATTGTTCCAGAAGCTCAGGAGGCAGAGTGGGTGTAATATGCCCTGTTTTGTGATTTATCTGATATTGTATTTATCCGAGCTTAAGACCTGCTAAGAACCAGATCATTTTTATTATATCCTGATATGTAAAAGAAGGTGCATCTTCTTTTCACCAGGACTGTTGGAGGATTGTAAAATGCCACCAAAATAATTGTTGTACTACGCCACTTAAAATGCTTTAACATTTACGAAGAAGTGAAGTAGAAGAAACATGCAACTGTAGCTGATTCCATTTTGGAAGTAGAATCAATTTTATGTGTGCAATAAAGTTTTACTTAATATTTTTTATTGAGCAGTTTGAGCATACTTGTATGATGGAGTGATCTCGCGGTCCAGTAAAACGTTGGTCGCAAGGATTCCTCGTACAGAGTCCAAAATGAAAGCTCCATTAAGGTTACCAGAGAGAATGGAGTATTCAATCTGGCCGTTCATGCCGCTGTCAGCATCGGAGGCAAACACCTGTTCAAAATATGAGAAGCGGTCAGTATTAGAGGGATCACTGCATGCCTCTCACATCAATGAGGGCGTTAATACCGAAAGTTTACCTGCATAATGTAGGTATTGTGCACTTGGCCCTCCCAGACAGCTGTCCTGTAGCTGCTGTGTTCAAACTGTGGTGCGTTGTCATTGATGTCCACCAGAGTGATGGAGACCCTGCAGTGAGCCGTCTGCAGCCCACTGTCAGCCAGCACCACCAGCTGGATGTGGGGGTTCACCTCAAAGTCCAGAGAGTTATCCTTCTGCACTCGGATTTCACCTACATAAGACGGTAACATGAAGGTAAAAGCTGCACTCAAAAGGAAGTACAGCTCAGTTAATATCAAGCCAGTGAGGTTTATTTTTAAAAACACAAATCATAGAAATCATAATCTTAATTGACATTTTACTTCACGCCCTTCTGTGAACAGGGCCTTTTCCTCTTTGGCCTCTTTTCACCAAATAATAGAAAAGTCATGGTAAAGTAGTGGAAAGAAAAACAGCTTTCAATCTGACAACAAAGGTGTCGACAGAAGTACTTTTAGGTTCAAGTTTTTGTGGTGAACGTTCAGTCCAACATCAGTATGAGATTGTGTATTTGACTTGGTGTGTCTGCACGGTTACTTTATGTAGACGTGAGTCAAAAAAAGGAATTTGGGGGAAAATATGATAAAATCATCCATGGTTTTGAAATACTTATGTATTAAAAAATGCAGAAGAACCAGAAAAGCTGATTTTTTTCTTTTGAAAAGGGGTAATTTAGGAATAATACAAAAAACTAACAGAAAATCTAAATTGTGGGATTAGACGGTTTTATTGGTTAATAAGTTGTATTTAGAAATGAACATTTTAATTACCAGTGTGACGGTTAATGGAGAAAACCTGGTTCTCGTTGCCGCTAAATATGGTGTATGTTATTCTTTGTCTGCTGCTGCTTTGGTCGTTGGCCTCCACCTTTGCAATCCAAGTGCCTTTAGAAAGAAAAAGACGAAAACAATGACTGAGATGTTCAGTGGTATCAGTGAAAACAAGACAAACAGATAAAACGTACCAGCTCTGCTGATCTCCTTGACACTGGCGTTGTAGACTTTGCTTGTGAACTGCAGTCCTTCGTGTTCCCCCTTCAGATGGATAAAAACCAGGCAGGTAGAGGTCAGAGCAGGATGTCCTCTGTCTGAAACGACAACTTGCAGCTTCCTCCCAGAGAAACCCGCTCTCACTCGTCTTCTCAGTGAAATCTCTCCAGTCTCTGTGTTGATGTCAAACAGATTCTCCTCGTCTGATAACGCATAATGTATCGTCCCATTCTCACCCTGATCCCCATCTGCTGCTGTCACTGTGGTAACTATCTGGTTCGGCAGTGTCCTCATGGAAACCCACTCGTTGAAGGGAGTCTGCTCACAGACCGGCATGTTGTCGTTCACGTCCTCCACCTGTATGGTGACCGACGCCAAAGAGCTCAGCGGTCCCTGAGTGCATCCATCGGTAGCGACAGCTCTGAGGCTGTACTGAGCTCTGCTCTCTCGGTCCAGAGACCTGGTGGTGCGGATCGCTCCTGTGAAGGCGTCGATTAAAAAGGCCCCTTGGCTGTTATCATCTGTCAGGGTGTAGGTCACTTCCCCGTTAGACCCTTCGTCAGGATCCGACGCACTTACACGCAGGACTTCAGCTCCTGCGGAGAGGCCCTCGCTGATAGAGGCATGATAGCTCTTGCGGGTAAAAGAAGGGATGTTATCGTTCTGGTCCAGCAGCACCAGATGGAGCTGGGTGAAGGAGCTGAGTGGTGTGGGGCCATAGTCACGGGCCTGGATGGTGAGTGTGTAATTCTGCATTTCCTCCCGGTCAAGGACCTGTGTGGTGCTAATGGCTCCGGTGTGACTGTTGATGGTGAACCGACCTCTGTAGTCCTCACCTGCAGACAATCAGAGATCAGTGGAAAGGAAATAAAGGATAATTCCACTTTAACTTTGGCCACTCGACTCAACAATGCACTTTTGATGTCTTGAAAGCAAGCAGTCAGACATTCATCCACTTAGAATTTTGCTTGCTTCATTTATCTGAAGGTCAGACTAAATGTATGCTGCTAATGGTCTCTCCAAGCAGAAACATTATATGCACACAGCTCAATATTGAACAAAGAAGTTAGTAGATAAGCTGTACTTGTCCCTTCACTACAGACAGTTTGTGCAAGTCTTTAACTGTTAAATAAATGATATGCTCTAAAATACTGGACTACCCACAAGTTACGCACCTACAAGAGCTGCTCAGACTGCATCAGCACTCAACTAACCTGCTCTGTAACTTTGCCTGAGCTGCCACTTTATGGGAGCCAATAATGCACTTGTTGCAACGGTGGCATCATTACAGCAGTAGCCTTGAATTCACTGAGCTCTTTAGAATGACCCATTCTGTACAACTTGAATGACAGCATGAAGTACAGGTAAAACTTTCAAGTTGCTTGAAATACAAAACAAGGTCTGATCTTCTCACCAACTATGGAGTAGTGAATGGTGCCATTTTCTCCGTGATCTGGGTCAGAGGCCTGGGCGGTGTGGATGACCCCAGGAGGAAGGTTTTCCGGGATGCTGATGCGGAAGGATGACTGCATGAACTCTGGGGGGTTGTCGTTGTCATCCAGCACAGAGCACATCACCGTCGTCGTGCTCGAAAGTGGCCGAGCGCTGCTGTCACGAGCTTGGACTGGAGATAGGAACAGAAAGGAAACGACACAGAGGCTTCCTCACCAGTTCTTTTTTAATTATTTACTAAAATATTCAAATGCTTGACACCCACAGGCTTTATAATAAGTACTGATGTTTTAAACAACAAGTGCCTAATACTATTAGCATGTTCTTTAGATCCTTTTTTCTATTTTTCTTTGGCATGTTTTAAATAGCATCCAAATAGCACCAAAAGCAAAGTGTAGCTATTGTAAACCTGATGTCTTAATGTCTGAATGTCTCAGATATGCCACATGCTGTTATTTTAATAACTCATTCAACACTAGAGTATAATTTTAAAAAGCCATACTGTACACATTATATTATATTATATTATTACATTATATGTAACAATTTTACTCTTTCTTACAACACAGCAATGAGGCAATTATTGGCTGTGTGTCTGGACACTGTGTGGCCAGATTGGATGTTTAATAGCAGTAAAAACTCCAAAATCAGTCAACGGAAAATAATGAGACACAGCTTTTAACACATGCTGACAATTTTTTTTTTTTATTTCTTTCCAATTCATTTACAGCCAGAGAAAACATATATTTCAGTGTTTCCCAATAAGCCCTGTGAGATTTTGGCGTGGCTTCTAAATATTCAGGCCTTCCTGTTATTATATTTAATTACTGGGACTTTATTTTTAATTATACTGGCAACTGTACAAATATTATAGTAAAACATGTGAAAGCATTTCACCAAACGCTGATGAATCTGTTGAACGTAATTACTGCACGCACCCATGTGAGAGCGAAAGCAAACTCTTGAAAAGACAGAAGGGTGTAACGGTGCAGTCAGAAGAGGTTAGATATACTGTAGCTCAGCCCTTTAAAAGTCTTCTGTTTCCTTAACATAAATCAATCTGCTGAATAACGTTGCTTTAATGGAGAAAGTCGACCTTAGATTCTTTACGACTTTGCCGGTGAAGCGTGACAAAGGAGAAGGTACAGAATGAAAGTATTTGTATAACCGTTCAGATGCAGGCTCTCACCCAATTATCGTTGTGAGAGTGTGGCTAAGC